GCGCAGAAATACCTTTGCCAAATTTTATCGAAAACGGCTAAGATTTGTTTTCTTTTTTCGATTTCAGGTTTAACGGCTAACATCAGTCTAAATAGTGTGAATTTTGGGACGTACTTTTCCATTTTGTGGAACTCGGTTCCGATATATATTTTTTTGTATATAGTCCTTTTCGAAGTAATATCATGCACTCTACAGCAATGTAATTTGGTATAAAAGATTAAAATGTCTCCGTCAAATTTAGTGAAAATCGATTCAGAATTGGATATGCCTTCCTCTGAATCCAAACTATAACTGCTCTAAAGCCAAATGTTGATAGGTGGTCTAATTCAATTTATTACGGGAGCTCTACTACATATGCATAGTGGTGTAGGGTATCATATAGTTGGCCCGCCCGACTTTTGACTTTTCCTAAATGATTAGCGTTAGAATCTTGACAATTCGCACAATTGGTGGTATGGTATTGTTGGTATTGTTAAGCTAAAATGTTGATGCTAATAAATAAATAATTATAATAAAATAGTCTGTTAAAATCTTAAAAATATCGAATATAGGGTGTTACCGCTATATTTTGAGGTCTATACGAACACGTGGACCTGTATAAGCAATTTTTGGCATAGGCCAATACAATATTCAAATACGAAACGTGAAAATAGACAATTTTCTGTCAAAGACTGTTGAAGCTAGAGTGATTTCCACCGACGGACGGACTGACAGACATCGCTAACCGACATAGAATTTTATACTTATCAAGACTTTTTGAGATCTAAAATGTATACTTCGATGTGTTATACACGGAATGACAAACTAAATATACCCTCCATACTATGGTGGTGGGTGTAAAAATGGCACAACATTGATATTGAGCGGTCGATAAGAACTTTAACCTGAAATGGGTACCACTATTAGCGTAGACGCGGTGGAATAGCGGCAGATTTTTGAAACAGCTACAAATGGTACTTCAAGGCTATCAAAAATTAAAAATTTTCTGTCCAAAACTATTTCAACGTCCCAATATGAAAACCCTAGAATCCCTAGTATTTATACCCTACACCACAAGGTGGTCAGGGTATTATGTATTTGTGCATTTGTTTTTAACAGGCAAATAGAAACGAGATAGACCCATAGTTCTGTGATCTGCACAGAATCACATTCTGAGTCGATTTATGCATGTCCGTCCGTCCGTCTGTCCATGTATTTTTGTAAACAAAGGACAGGTCGCGATTATTGCCCGATCCAGATGAAATGTTGCACAGATCATTTTTTGGCCCAAGGACGAATCCTATTGAAATTGGAGATAATCGGTAAAAATTTAGATATAGCTCCCATATATATCTTCGTCCGATTTGCCTTTTATTGTGCACCAAACGTGTAATATCAGCCCGAATAGTATGGAATTTCGCACATACAACCAAATTTGGCCTGAAAATAAGTATGCCAATTTTTATCGAAATCGGTTCAGATATAGCTATAGCTCCCATGTATATCCTTCATCCGATTTGTTATTTTTGTCCTCCGCAGCCGTAATATGCACTCTGCAACAAAAATATTTGGGGAAATATATCAAATACAGCTCAGAAATACATTTGGCAAACTTTATCGAGATCGGTTCAGATTTGGATATAGCTCCTATATATAACTTCGTCCGATTTAAGATTTATTGTGCACCAAACGTCTAATATTTGTCCAAATGGGATGGAATTTGGCACTTACGACCGAATTGAGTCCAGAAGCTAATATGTAAAATTTGGTGAAGATCGGTTCAGATATAGCTATAGCTTCCATATATATTGTTTATCCGATTTGTTGTATTTGTTACCCACAGCCGTAATATGCAATCCGTAACAACGATATTCAGGGAAATATATCAAATACAGCTAAGAAATATCTTTGCCAAATTTTATCGAGATCGGTTCAGATCTGGATATAGCTCCCATATATATCTTTATCCGATTTCAAATTAATTGTGCACCAAATGGGCAATACAAGTCCGAATTTAAAAGATACAAATGCTTCGACATATTTAGTCTTTTGAACTTTAAATTTTAATTATAATCATAGCGTGTATGATTGAATTCTCCCATAAAAACTTTTAATTGCTATGTGGAGCTCTACTAAGTTGGCAAAGTCGGCCCCGCCCGACTTAAAAACTTTCTTTACTGGTTTTCGTATAATTATAGTACGCTTATCCAAAACCATCTCTTCTCACCAACAGTGACATCCAAATCAAATTTGAGGATTCCAGCTTTATACCTTCACCCAATACACATATCTAAAACAAAACGCCTATAGTGGTCAAAACTGGTACCATTTATTTCTTTTCGAACAATTATAATACGTATTTGAAAAACGACCACCACATTTCAAACCAGATACCAGCAGAGACCTAAGTATTAAATTTCGGGATTCCAGCTCTATACGTGCACTCAATACCAAATTTAGTAATACTTAGTACTTTTCGAACATTTATACTACACATTTCCAAACCCAACTCCATATCCTAACCACAGACACCAACAGTGACGTCTGTATCAAGTAGATACCAAATTTCTTAATTTCATACCAAATACCAAGATTTCAATCACTAATCTAAATGTTCGCACATTTAGTAACACATTCCATTAGTCCAACACAAAATATTCAATGTTTAGTACATTAGTTTAAACGTTTTAAAACGTCGGATCCGTTTGGATACATTGTTGAAAGCTCAACCCGTCCTTGATATTCAAGCAGTATAACAATATCACATGGTAGTGAAATATGATTTTCGAACTTTTGGTATAAATATGGGGATATTTCGAGGAATTCATAAGTCCGTAGCCGTTTGGTTTGAGATTGGCCATTTTCGTTTTTAAGAATTGCTATAGAATCTTTACTATTGACCTTTTCTCTTGAAAAGCTGTGTGAACTTCAATGTGACTTACATTTTTACGAAACTTTCTTCCATCAATATGTTTGTACGTACATCTTGTTTTAACGTCAATATTTTTTGTCTTCGGTTTATTAATGGAAATTTCGGAAGGTATCATCGATTCTTACGGGCAGATATTTCGTTTTTACGGGCAGATATTTCCTCCACAGAACTTAAATTGTCCAAAATAAGCGGGGTTTCTTCTCAGGAGTATTTATCTTTCTTTCCAATTTTAATTATATTTTTAGACATAAAAATTGCTTCAATTTAGTTTGAAAAATTAATTGAGAATCCAAGGCACACGTTTTCAAAATTTATTGATTCCAGTATTTCATTTTGTGTTCTAAAAAAACATAAATATAAAAACCCAGTAAGGAAAGGTCAAAAGTCGGGCGGCGCCGACTATATGATACCCTACACCATTATGCGTATGTAGCAGAGCTCCCGTAACATAACTCCTGGCGAGAATATCCCAAAAAAAGGGGGAAATGATGAGGATTGGTGACTCTTTCCGAAACCTAGGTATTCCCAGCCTTACCCCCGGGTTACATTACCAACTAACAAAAAACATTTTTTTTTATAAAAACAACAATAATGGGATTAAGCTTGACTATTTTGCAACGACGAAAGGTTATATTGGGAATGTATGTGAAATAGATCATACCAACTATGAACCTTATTTGAATTCGTATCATGGTTTTAGAGTAGTCACAATTTGGGAATTATATCCAACTCTGAATCGATTTTAAACAAATTTGACGGAGACTTTTGTGCATCTAGTTCAAGACTCGGGAAAGAGTATCCCATGGGATATCTGTGTGTTCACTAACACAATTGTAAAAAATAAATTGTTTTGAATTTTCTGTCAAATTGTAAAGATAGGCAAAAAAAACATTGCAATATTTTGTTATTTTAAAACACATAAAATAGCAAAAAATTTTTTGGGGCTATCTGCCTAGCCCTTTTCTAGTTCTAAATAACATTGCTGCTATATTAAAAGCCCGAGTTTCACCAAATGGAAAAATTAGGTTGAATATCAAAAAGTCTATTCAATATGAGATGATATTACATATAACCGTAATATCGGATGAAGATGTGTATCGAAGGTATATAAAGATCTGAACCCATCTCGATAAAATTTGGCAGAGGTATTCTCGAACTGCATATCTTCTCTTTTGTTCTTTTGTATCTATTTTCTTTCTGTTGCGGTGTAAGTACATGCACTTTTTGGAATTTCAGTGGCTTTACCCCGAGCTCATTTTTCAATATTTGCCGAATGGAATATTGCGATATGTTCAGCTCACGAGCCATTTTTCGGCCACTGCGACACTCTTTGCAATCAAGTAGCTTCTTTACTTTTCGAACCATTTCTGCTGATGTTGCTGTTTTCTTCCGTCCACTTCCTTGACGTCGGGCTACGCTACCAGTATTACGGTAACGAGCGATGGTACGAGACACAAAAGATTTATTCATAATTAATTTCTGGAGTGCTCTAACGATAGCAACTTGGAGTTTTCCAGTCAAATATAAAGAAATCACACTTTCACGCTTGAATTCCATTATGGAAAATTTTCACTAAGATGCTTTTGTACGCTTGTGAACAATATATGAGCTGTCACTGGAGTAATTTTAACATCTGTCGGACGAGTAGCTTAGGAATGACAGCAGTGGGAAGTTTGTTGCAGTTTTTTAATCTCGCCCTGTATATTGATAATTGTTTGATAGCAGTTAAAACTCAAATTACGAAAATTTGGCTAAGGGTTATACCTAAAATTGGATTTTAAACCAAATGTTCCTGAAATAATTCAATGCTCCCTATGAATTTTAAAAACTCTTTGTTTAATATTGCGAAATTTATCTCGAAATGTTGCGGACCTTTGAATATGGTCAAGGCTGTATAACTTTCAAAACGCTAATTCACCTGTTTCTTTGTTGAGCCCTTTTTTCATAATCTATTGAGTTTCTCCTGTAATTGTTGCTTGTGCTACACAGTGTATTTTTAAAACCCGACTTCTATGAACAAAAAGTTCCCAAACAATTTCAATAAATCTGTTTATATTTTGGACATGGTTCATAAAGAAAATAAATTAAATATTTGCAATAAATTAAAAGCATGAAAATGGAAAATTTCGATGAAATTATAAATTTTGGCAATGATTCAATTTCGATGTCTCTATATGGGAATTAAGCACTGCAGTAGCAACCATCCTTGGTATTCGATTCAATCCAGCTCAAGAATTTTGTAACACGGGCATAAACACCAGGAGCATTAACCTGGGCGCAGCCATAGCCAAAGGAAACAACACCTAAGAGGAAAAAACAAACGAACATGATTAAAAATCGATTGAAATATTTTTAGAAATTTTGAAATACATACCAGCCAATTTGAAACGACCCTCGTTAACAATCAATGGACCGCCACTGTCACCTTGGCAGGCATCCTTGCCGCCCGATTTCACCAAACCAGCGCATAGCATAACATCTTGAATTTTGTTCTTATATCTGGTGCGACGACATTCCTGATTGGAAATAATTGGAACGGTAGCTTCTTGCAAATAGTTGGATGTTTGACCACCCTCCTTCAATAGACCCCAACCGGCAACAACGGCATTCTTGCCATCAAAGTTTTGGTTAGCATCTGGCAAACATACGGGACGAATTTTGTCATTAAATGGTACAGGGGATTCCAATTTCAACAGGGCAACATCATTGGCAATTGTGTTGGGATTGTATTGTGGATGGACAATGGTGCGGGCAACCTAAAGAGAGGAAAATATATATAAAATTTAGTAAATGGGCAATGTAGGAAAACGTTTTACGATTTGTTGAAATGTTGACTTCTTAAAGAAAATCAGGGGCCTTAACTTTAACCCTTTGAAGGGAACGCCCGAATGTTTTTCAATTTTCGCCAAACACTTATGTGATGCGAAAAGTTTGGACGCGTTGAGAATCATTGAAGAAACAGGGATTTTTACAAAAAGGAGTGGAAAGATATTGTTAGTTTTCGAAATGGATGTGAAGAGTTTGTTGTTATGGCTACACCATTAGTCCTCAAACGGATTTCGTCCAAAGGAAAAGTGTGTCAAAACTCATTTGTTCGCTGAGGCATATGTTTGACCGTATGACTTAATATGTACCCTTTGCAGCCATAAGGCTGATGAAAGAAAAATCAGGGAGGTTCTGGATAATGTGCCACATTAGACGTAGAAATCTACATCTTCTTCTATATATGTTCCGAGATGATACAAAGATCTTCCCGTAGAAGTTCTGTACATATTCTCATAGAAGATTTGTGTAGATTCTATAAAGCATTTGTAGAACTTCTCATAGAGCAAAATTTCTTGATCTTCTCACGACTTTCCCAAGGAAGATCTAAATTTCTTTTCCGGATTCAATTTATTTTCAGGAAGATCTTCTTAAGAAAGATTTCAAGATCTTCTCAGGGAAGACCTTACGTTTTTTTGAAAATTTTCAAGATTTTGATAGGAATGCTGTCTAGATCCTATCAAGGATAATTTCAAGATCTTATTAAAGCAGATTCCAGGATCTTCTCGAGTAATCTCAGACGATTTCAGTATCATCTGAGATTTTCTCCAGGAACTTCAGAAGATTTCAGGATAATCTGGCAGATTTTCTAGAGGAAAATCTGAGGATATTCTCAATAAAGATCTTCTTCAAGAGAATGTCAAAATCTTTTCAATTCAGGTCTCATGGTCTTCTCAGGGATGATGCCAAGATCATCTCTCGTAGGATTTCAATATATTCTTAGCGAAGATTTCAGAACCTTCTCAGGAAAGATTTGAAAACCTTTTAAGAAAGATATCTAGGTTTTCTGAAGGTAGATTTAAAGATCTTGTTAGGAATGCTCTCAAGATCTTCTTTGAAGAAGACCTGAACATTTTTTCGAAGCATATTTCAAGATCTTCCCAAAGTAGATCTCGAATCTTCTCGAGGAAAATTTTAAGATGTTTTTAAGGAAAATTTCAAGAACTTCTCAAGGGGAATATAAAACAACACAGTTGACTTGGCTGAATTATAACCATGTCAACTGATATGAACATAATCCTATATCGTTAAAACATTTCAGTTAAATAATATTCCTTTCTTTAGAAATTGTATTTTTAAAACAAAAAAAAAAAAATGTTTGATCTTCCGGAGGCCATGCCAAAACTTACCCAAATTTTTAATAAATTCATTATCGATCCCATATATTTAAAAAAGTGATATTTTGACCCATAAAATCGAAAACTGAACCTCGGGGGTTCAGATTGAGTCTTAAATCTGACAAAACACATTTCTAATGCATTAATTACCGGTTCGATGCATGAGAGCACAATATTTGAAATATAATTTAAAAATTCACAACAAATTCTAATATTTCATACCAGGCTATATACGAGGTTCACGGTTTCCTGATTTAGGTTGAAAATAATATAAATCTTGTAAATTTTCTTATTAATCCCTTTCACACTTTTCAACAAATTCCACATTATTTTTAAAAATACCGTACATTGTCCTTTCATCTCACTGTGTTACTGTAAACAATACCCTCCGATTTTTTTCATTTTTTTGCAGTTATAAAAATTCCTCACTCAACGAAACGGAAGAAGAATCCCCACCCCACAAGATAACGTTATGCGGAAGGTAACTGAATACCCAACGATAAATGTTATGATTTCTCACCTTTCTGGTAATGCCAGGATCCCGAGATGATCTGTCCAACTGCAATAAGCGGATTGTTATCTGATCACGATTACCGTGGACACAATGGGCAGCAGTCAGCACATAGCGATCATTAATCAAAGAGCCACCACAGAAGAGACGCAAATAATGGCGACCTTTTAACAGTTGGGCTGTCCAGGGATATTTGTTTTGGCGCACCTGTGTGCCACCAACAATGCGATTGCCATTTGGTGCACCACAGACTAAAGGAACAATCAAAAGGAATAAAAATTATTATTATTTCAGGAAACAAAATAAGGGATAGGTTTCAAAAGGATGTATTCAGATGCGCTCGAAACTTACAGCATTTGCTTTTGCAGTTGTTGCGTTGAGGCTTAGCCTTGCCGAAACCGCTCTCGCCAATATCAACATCAAAGGCACCCAAAACTTGATCAAAACTCTCTGCCGCGGTTTCATCATAACGTTGCACTTGGGCCGTTTGAGCTTGAGGTGGCTCATAGACATATTGTCCTTGGGCGGATACCCAAAGTAGGGTGCAAACTACCAAGAATTTCATTATATATTACTACACTTTTTGAAAATATTTTTTATTTTCAATTTTTTTTACAACTCTTTTCTTTTTACACAACTGAGCTCTTTCACCTGCCCAGTTGAAATGTTTGCATTGGAAAAGGCTTCGTGTCTTCTTATAGTTTCGATTTTTTATTGATTAAAATTCAATATTTGTATCGTTAGCACACACAGACACACATAGCTTTACCTTTCTTTCGTAAGTTTTGCTACATTCTTATATGTGCTTTCTTCGCCATAGCAGTTGTTCTTGTTGTTGGCAACAAAAACAACGAAAGAAAGTCAATGCTTCAGGTGATGCGAACGGCCTTAAGTGTCTGTTTGTTTTCTGGAGCGACGGCACTTCATGGATCGCTGCCGTTCGGATTAGCGATTTTGATGGTTCGATTTTATTGCTGCTCTTCTTCGTCGGAATATTGTAAAATGTTAATGGGATTTTGGCGATTATTAAGGGTTTTTAAAATTGGTTTGGTTTTTGCCAAATAGCGCTGGTGTTGTTGTTGGCGCTTTTATTTATTTATGTATATTTGACAATAACTAATTTACATTTTCGGCCAACTTAATTTTATCACTTTTATTCAGTCATTGTTTGTTTTATTAAGAGATTTACGCTACAGTTTTTTTATATAACAATACAAATTCCTTTATCGAATTGATGAATTTTGGAGTGTTATGCCCCCAGCATCGGAAGTGTGTATGTGAAAACATAACAAAACATAAGAGGCGCTAAGTTGAGGTGGGTCGAATATAAGATGTTGAGATCAATCATAATTTTTGATCTTGCCGAAATATGTCCATGATATTAAAATGCATATTTGAACCTGGATTTCGGAGCCGGAGTTGTAGTCAAACCATTATGGTGGACTTGGCGCAAGTGTCTGCGTCAAAAAAATATTCGACTCCAAATCCGGGTAGTAATGTTCCTATATTCTATGTGTTTAGAGTGTTATTAATTTGAATAGCATAAATCGAAATATTGATTTTAGATCCACCCCGTTAAGGGAGATTTTCAAAGAGCTATAGGACAGTTTAAAAGAAGAACAAAAACTGAAAAAAAAAAGCTGAAAAAAATCCGGGCCGAACTTTGGATACCCTCTACCATTTGGAATGAATTTGGCAATTTTCAAAAAAATCGAATTCCTTAAAAATTTTGTTAAACGAATGTAGCCGTTATATTAGGGTCTATACAAAGACGTGGACCTGCATAGGCGATTTCTGTCATAAGACATTACAATATTCCAATGCGAAAAAATCGGTGAATAATGTAACAAAAATCATCAAACTACCGACTATAGGGAGATTCCATTTTATTGGGGATATACCAAAACGTGGACCTGCACACGAAATCTTTTGTCATGGGCTGTAGTACCCGTAACGAACTTAAGATACGAAACTTGTAACAATTCCGGTGAATAATGTCGCGAAAATCATCAAAATTTCGAATATCGGGAGGTATCGTTATATGAGGGCTATACGAAGACGAGGACCTTGATGACCGATTTTCAATACCAAATGTCCTGCAGATATAATAAATATTTCAGTAAGATTTTATCAATCTACCTCATTTCGTCCGAAAGCTAGAGTGATTTCTACAGACTAACGCAAATCGCTAAATCGACATAGAATTTTATGCTGTCAGGTCTAAAATGTATATTTCGAGGTGTTACAAACAGAATGACAAACTTAATATACCCTCCATACTATGGTGGGTGTAAATTGGTATAAGAAAGCTGAGAAATCTATGAAAGCTTTAATAATTATAACTTGAAGATTATTTCATGCAAATGTTGACCGCGACTGCTTTTCAAATGGTCCATCCGCTTCGACCATATTTGGTATAATCTTTTCAATATTCCGGACGATATCTCATGAATAAATACTTCAACATTGTCTTCCAATTCGTCATTTGAAGCGGGTTGCTCTGTATAGACATGAGTTTTGACACCGCCCACAAAAAATAGTCTGAAGGCGTTAAATCGCACTATCTAGGCTGACAATTGACCGGTCTTGAACGTCAAATAAAATGTGCACTAAACTCGCTTCTCAATAAGTCCATTGTTCAGCGTGCTGTGCAGCATACGGCACCATCTTGTTGAAACCACATGCCAGGCAAGTCAGGCTTTTGCATTTTGGGAAAAATAAGTTACGTTGCGGACACTTTGGTAGCATTGGCAATACTTCTTCAAATAAAAATTCGTAAAAAATAAGCTTCGTCTCTGAACACAATTAGCGCGATGAACTTTCTCTGGAGATCACGCATATCGATAATTCAATGATTTACAAGCCTTTTAGACCAATTTTAACATGTGTTTAAAACAATGTCGCCAAAAAGAAAATAGCTAATAAAACACCCTTTATTACTTAGTCAAATTTGGTGAAAATCGGTTCAGATATAGCTATAGCTCCCATTTACATGTTTCAGCGGATTTGATGTTTAAGTCCCTCGCACTCGTAATATGCACTCCCCCAGAATGATATTTGGTGCCAGATATCAGATGCAACCCTGAAATATCTCTACCATATTTTATAAAGATCGGTTCAGATTTGGATATATCTTCCACTTAAATCAATTTTCGAAGTGATCGAAGCACCGTCTTCTCTGACGGAAAATTTTTTCTACAGGTGCCATCCGATATTCTTATTTTAATAATTTCAGATGCCATTCTGCAAATTTATGAAATTTTGTAAGTTCCGGTAGTTGCTTCTTTAATTGCTATACCCTACACCCTGTTCAGATATAGCTATTGCTCCTATATATATGTTTTATCCGATTTGTTGTTTAAGTCCCTCTCATTCCTAATATACATTCGACAATAATGATATTTGGTACAAGATTTCTTATAGAGCTCAGAAATGCCTTTGCCAAATTTTATAGAGATCAGATACGATTTGGACATAGCTCCCATATATATCCTTCAGGTTTATTGTGCAAATAATGACTAATATCAGCCCAAATTTTTACCCCCACCATACATAGTATGGAAGGTATATTACACATTCTTGATCAGCGTAAAACTCTAAGACGATTTAGCCCTGTCTGTCTGTTATAATCACGCTACAGTCAAAACGAATTAAGATAGGAAGCTACAATTTTGCACATATCTGTCTTTTGTCTGCAGACAAGTCAAATTCGAAGTTGTGCTATATCGGTCCTCGATATCGTATAGCCCCCATATAACGGTACCCGCCGATATTCGGTATTTTGATGACTTTAGCCACATTTTTCAATAGAATTGTCTAAAATTCTACACAAAGAGTTCCTTGTGAGTACTTTATCCCCTGGAAGAGAATTATCTATATCGCTCCCCGATATCGTATAGCCCCCATATAAAGGTTTGTCAATGGAATTGTCTAAAAAACCACAAAAGGAGTTCTTTGTGGGTACATTATACCCTGGAAGAGAATTGTCTATATAAGTCCACGATATCATATAACCCCGAGATAAAGTTTCCTCCCAATATTCGATATTTGGTGATTTTTGCTACGTTATTCACCGGAATTGTTTCAAATTTCGTATCTAAATTTCGGAACTCATTGTGGGTGTTTTTTATATATTGGGAGTATCCTGGCCTTAAATACTTTAAACTGGCTCTTAGTATGTTCATGCTCAATAAATTTTAAATATTTCCGTCCATATAATGTAAGAAATGATCCATACCTTAGAAATCTGTTCAGCTCAAAAGAAAAGGGGAATACATTTGTCTTTGTCAAATTTCACAGCTAACAGAGATATATATCGTTTACCATTTTTGATTGAGGCAGTCATTGAAAGGTAGAAATTTATGGCTTTAAAAGCTATGCTAATTTGTTTGGGCAATATATGCATTCGGCTTATTAACATAATTTATGCTGCGAAATTATAAAAAAGGAAAAGTTATGTGCCGACCTGTCGTCTGAAACACACGACGTAAATGTTGGGTGTTTAGAAAACGCAAGACATACATACATTCATTTGTATTATGGGCCATAATTTGTTATGGGTCGTTGCTTTTTTGGAGTGTTGAGTTTAAGTTTTGCCATGGGCCCCTTTGCGAATATTAAGAAATATATAATTTTAGATTTCAACTTTTAAAAAAGGAACAACCTAATCTTAAACGATTTACCCATGGTAAGGAAGGACTTGCACACATAGGTATGTGTTTATATCTGTGTTTAATTAAAACCAGCCACGAGTTAATGACCATATTTACTGTGACAAAATAAAAATCGTAACGTTGCAACCACGAAAAGGACAAAAGCCGAAAGTATTCGTGTTGGTCATAAAAATCAATGTTGTCTGCATGTGAATGAATGCCTTAAAGGTAGTAGCCATGTAACACTACAGGATGCCTTGTTTAGCAAAATAATTTTGAATATTGCAAAATATGAGAACAGAACAGAGTGGTGAAAAGTTCACCAAGAACATGCTAAATATTATAGTTAGGTGGCCGAACGCATTGGTTTTTTCACACACTCCGATGTTTTAAACTTAAAACACCCAAATGGTTTGAAGCGGACACGCATGTATGAGGTGCATTAAAAATTACTGGGAACTATAGTTATGGCATTTTTATTCCGAATCGATCAATTCAGAACGAAGATACCAATAAACCAGTAAAGAAAGTCCTAAAGTCGGGCGGGGCCGATTTTATGATACCCTACACCACTTTGCTAATTTAGTTGAGCTCCACTTAATAATTAAAAGTTTTTTGTTTTTGGGAGAATTCAATAATACACGCTATGATTATAATTATAATTTAAAATTCAAAGGACTAAATATGCCAAAGCATTTGTATCTTTTAAATTCGGACTTGTATTGCCCATTTGGTGCGAAATTAATTTGAAATCGGATAAAAATATATATGGGAACTATATCCAAATCTGATCCGATCTCGATAAAATTTGGCAAAGATATTTCTGAGCTGTATTTGATATATTTCCCTGAATATCGTTGTTACGGAGTGCATATTACGAATGTGGGTAACAAATACAATAAATCGGATGAACAATATATATGGGAGCTATAACTATATCTGAACCGATCTTCACCAAATTTGACATACTACCTTCTAGACTAAATTCGGTCGCATGTGCCAAATTCCATCCCATTTGGACAAATATTAGACGTTTGGTGCACAATAAATCTTAAATCGGACGAAGTTATATATGGGAGCTATATCCAAATCTGAACAGATC